TTAGCCTCTTCTTTTGTTGAATTCTAAATTCAGATGGCAAATTCTTGCAAGCAGAAAGGAGAAAACATGAGGTATTTAAATGAAGCTGAAGCCTGCTCGAAATAAGTAAACATTCCAATTAGTCCCTTGCCTCCACTTGGATCACATTTCACGCTCTCTACAGCTTCAACCAGAACTAAGAACAGGAATCTAGCATACAAATGGCCAGTTCATTTACTACAGCAGCATGAATAGGATGAAAATAATCTGAGGAGGAATTAAATGGTTTAACAAATCAAGTCCTAAGAGCAGGAGCACTAAGAGACCTCTCCCCTGTTTGTTTGCTGGCTCAGTAGCGTGTAGCCAGGATGAGTTAATGTGGCTCAGGCTTGGTAGGGAAGGACCATTCTCTCGGCACAAAGCACCCGTGTATTATGAATCCCCAGGCAATACTTGTCAAATGTTCAGTTAAATGATGAGCCCAGTATTGGTGATGAGACGTTGAAGTGGTATACCCTGGATAAGGGTAACTGGAGTGGGAGGCGAGGATAACTTCCACTGTTGTGTTACCTGGTATGTGGAAATGCTCCTTTCGAAGTCTCGTAATTTGCTTCTACAGGGGTAGGGGAACACATCAGAGTTTGGGATTTCCTGCCTATAGCGAGACATGGCAGTATCTTAGAGAAAGGCTGAAGCTAATGGATCTCCTATAGTATATACACGCTTGGTGTTTCAGTACAGCACTTCCAATTTTCTTGCTAGTTGGTGACAGGTAAGTGGGATGTAGAGCTCATTCTCAAATACTCTTCTGTTACTGAGCACCATTTGTCCGGATGGTAAAAGTTGGCTAACGAATGTCAATGACTATTTTGTCTGAGTGTTGCAGAATGGGACTTTAAGGGATCTGGACTCAGTCCCACCTGTGCCTTGTTTGGTCCTAGCTGATAGGTTTGGTCTTGAGCCAGTGGTTGGGTCAGGTGACTGTATCTGATGATGGTAGCCTAGGGACAAAACTTGCTATAAGAATGGGTCTGTTCCTTTTGAGAGAGGAAAGTCAGGGGCTAGGAAAGACCATGGGAAGGTCTCTTCAGAGAAGCCCAGAGTCTGGAGTAAGCCTGGCTGTTCCTTTGCTCAGAATGAGTTTGGGAGCTGAGAAAGCTGATATCTGAAGACTTGATACAAGGGTAACTAAGGCGCTACACCTGCAAGGAGGCTGTTGCAGGAACCCAGCAGGGACCAAGGTCAAAGAAGAGTGGGAAAGAGACTCCCCACCAGCTAGAGGAAAAGGCCTTGCTGAATTTGACAGTAATGGGGGGCAGGAGCAAAAACCTCAAGAGGTTCAACTGCTTTTAGAAGATTGGCTTGAGGAAAAGCTAGGCAGCGGGAATTGGGCTGTGGAAAGAACTAGTGAGACCAGTAAGGGGCTGAAAAGATGCTGGCTGGGGGGAGAGATAACATGCTTTGGTTTACGATGACATCAGAACTGCAATGTTTCAATAAACCACCTCACCCAAGATGGGCTGTTGTTCAAGTCACAAGACTCTGGGTGCAGTTACTGGGAAGCCCAAGAAGGAGAAACTGAGGCAGCAGCAGGGCCCAAATCCAGTTCATGTAAACCTTGTGACATTTGGACTTTTCAATCCTTTAAGAACATGCCCATTTTATGAGTTTTGCTTTGAGCACCATTATCAAGGCTGAGTCCTCAAAATTAGGAAAAGGGAACGGAATCACAGCAAAACCTTAGAATTCTGTCATAGGCAAGAGGTGAGCCTGTATCCTTAGGAAAGAAGATCACATAGTTTTGTCAGATCTCAAAAGCTAATCAATACTGAGAGAGTGCCAATGAAAAAAGCCTTAGTGGAATGAGGTTGGTGGCACTCCTCTCTCTAAATTAATGTACAGTATTAGTTAGAATGAGGATATTGCTGAAGTAGGGTTGCCAGGTGTCCAGTATTTGTGGCCTCTGTCCAGTAAAAAAACCCAGACAATACTGGATATGTAAACTAACCGGTATTTTCTGTTTTTCTCGGACGGAAGGCTGCTTGCGACATTCTTCTCCTGACACATCTGGTGGAGGTGGGGTGGAGTGGGGAGTGCGACATTCTTCTCCTGACACATCTGGTGGAGGTGGGATGGAGTGGGGAGCATGGGGATTTAAAGGCACAGCGACTCAGTTTGTTTTTCGTTTTTTTTACTCAGCAAGCTTGGTCCTCCTTTTTTTTCCCCTGCCAAGTTCAATATTTTTTGTGAAAGTATCTGGCAACCCTAGCTGAAGGTGCCATCTGTCAGAGCAGATACAAAATGGAGGCTTTGACCCCCTTATATGGTTTGACAAAACGTGGAGTGAGGGGTTCGAGGAGACATACCCATGCAAGCTCTCCTTGAGCAGTGCACTAACCCCAAAATGTAGCCTTGTCAATGCAAGAAGAGGGATGGGCTGGTACATGCCAATCAAAGACCCAGGCTTATATCTGGGGAAGTGAGCCTTTAGTGCTGCTGCGGCTATCTTCTAACATTAGGGCTAGCAGAGTATGTCTCCTCGAGCAGGAATCACACCCCTACCTCTAAATACAGATGTACCCATAGTCAATAAAGATGCCAGGAGATAACAACTTTGTAGTCTTGACTGCAGTCCCCCTGCAGAAGGAACTGGAGAAGTTATTCTCTATGTCCAAAAAGCCATGGTTTCTTATGGATCTAGGATAGCTCTGCATTCTTCCCAGAACAGGTGTATTTCAGTGGTTGATCTCTGAGCCTCAAATACAGAGTCTGCACAGCACTTGAAGTTTCTTCTTCATTACAGGGACTGCATTCATGTATTTTATTTTAAATTATTAATAACCTTGTTCCCTTAACTGACAGCTTTATTGGTGATAAAATGAGGGGAAATGGCACAGAAGGCACAGCAATATTCTGCATCTATGTCCAAGCAAGAGGAAATATGACAATTGATGTAGAAAAATGTTTACAGAAGGCAAAAACAGGAACCATGTCAAAAGACTTGGTGGTGGGCATTTGGAAAAGAAGAGCTGCATCTGACATATCTTCCAAAGGTCCCAACACTGCTTGCTAGACAAATAAATTCCTCCAAAAAATTCCACTATGGCTAGAACTATGCCAAATTCTGCCAATATTTTACATCATTTTTTTTTCTCAGCAGTAGTTCTCCTACCTGATGGCCGTGCCTCTATGATGTAGCCAGTCGTGGGTTTGTTCCCTGAATCACCCTCAGTCCAATGCAGAGTCAGCCCAGAAGCAGATTTTGTAACCAGAATTTCCTGAGGGGAGCCGGGAGACCCTAAGGGATGAGACCAGAATAGCAACCATCAGGGAGTGAGAAACGTGATCACATTACACCTTCTAACATCTCCAAAAATACACACATGAAAACAACACACAAGCCAAGCATAATACACAGGATACATCAATTTAATCAGGTGCTGCTGACCCAAATCTTCCCTGGTTCGAGCGCCACAGATTAAAATAATAGTGGCTGGCTTTTACAGAGGTACATACATCAACTAAGCAGAGAGAGGGAAAAAACCCTGTTACTTTCACCACTTACATCTCTGCCTGTTATCACTGGTACTCCTGCCTACAATCAGAGTGCCATCCCCTAAATCTTAGAAAACAGCAGTAAAGACATGCTGCCTCTCCAAACATTATAACTGCCGCACAAACATAATAGAAGAGCTATTTATGATCATATTGCACCTCCAAAAGAGGAGATCACAAGGGAGAGGTGTAGTGAGAGTGGTGGAAGGCTGCTTCTGTTTGATTCAGAGAGCAAGGAGACACAAAATAGAACTATGCATGAATACTTCACAGAAGCTTTCAGGACTACTTAGGCAGGCAGACAGAGACCATCGTGAGACTTTTAATTTTTCTTGCCATAAATTGTAATGATTAAAATGAATCATCCGTTTATCAACAAAAAATCTTGGTGCACAAACCAACAGAAGTCAGGGAGTCTGAAATTAAGCCTGCTATTTCTCACTCTTTGCTTATGCTGAGCATATCAGAGCATATTCATGCGTGTAAGCCAAAGCTTAAAGACATGAGGGAATGATTCTGAACTCCCACCAGTTTTACACCCATGCGACTCCATTGATTTACATGGGGGCTAACCCAGGTCTGAATCAGGAAAGCGATCGGTGCAATCAGAACCAGGACCAGACTGTTGAGGCACAGCTTTGAATTCCCTTTGCTAGTCGGTTTGACTTTCAAATTATTTGCACAGGTTTTGCAAGCCAGTCTTTTTGGATTTCATAAAAAGGAAAAATGTTTTTCATGGAATGTTATGAACCCACTAAATCATGCCTAGAGCCTTTGTGACTCAATTCTTCCTTGGACGGGAAATTTATTTGCACATACACTTTATTACTACCTGCTGTTGGATTGAATTAATGTAATTGGCTTTGGTCTGTTGCATGTTGCTAAGGTTCCACTTACCCTCTGCTGGCCCAGCTGTGATGTTGGCTTGTAGCTCAGGTCCATAGGTGATGGTTCTGGCTTGCACTCTGAATAAGTAGGTCACCCCCTTGGTGAGATCTCGGACCTTTAACCAGCGTTGCCAATTTCCTTTTATGTCCACAGTCACCACCTTACTCACCCCTGGAGGAGCCATCCAGATGAGAAATAAGAGAGAGTCTCAATGCAAAAAAGCAATTGAGCAGAGCTTATCGTGTCTAGATAAGTAAAATTATCTCACAGTTTGCTAAGAAAGTATTTCTTACAATTAGTGGGAGTTTAAGTAGCAATAATAGCCAATTTTCAGCACAGATAAGTATAATTAGAGTTTAAGCTTGATAAGTGGGTACTGACAAGAAAAAAAACCTTACAACACAACTGGGAAATTACCAAGAGACTGCACACAACCTCACTAATTACACCATGAAAAAAGGAGGAGATAAATGAAGTGGACTGCAAGAGGCACAGCTCTTCCTAAGTGAGAACAGCTCTGTGTGGGGCATCTTTGCCAGGTACCCTGCAAAATTATTCCAAGTGAAAATATACTATGCCAGATTCATCTTTGCTCTGCGCCTTGTCCTTTCATTTACATCAATGTGAAGTAAGTGCACGGTGGGTGTGAACAGTTACCATTCTGACTTAGCAGTGTTTTACACTGAAGTAAATGACCACACGAGGCGCACAGCAGTGTTGAATCTCATCAAATGCATGATTATTTAACAGCTCAGTGAGATCCTTCCCGGTTCAGGCCCCTTTAGGCCAGGCGAAAGGGCTAACATAGGATAAAGAGACACTAAAAAGGGAAGAATTCCCTCAGTACACAGTGTCTTCCAAGGACCCCCTCCTAAGTTGTGGGGGCACAGGATCCAAGGGCAATACTAGGCACAGGAGTGATGTGTCAGGGGTGGGGCTGTAGCATGCAGCACTGAAGAGATTTGGGGCAGCACTGCGGCCCATGGGGCAGCCCCAGGGGTTTGTTGTAGCTCGGACAGTTCTGCAAAGTTGTCTGAGTTGCACTAAGGGGCTCTCCTGCTGCTGGAGTAGCCCAGGATCAGGAGGACACAAATGTGACACAACACATGGCAGTTCCCCCAGGGCTGTGATTCTGTGCTGCAATTTTTACAGCCTTATCCCTACAGTTGATAATTTCTTTCACTATGTTACCGTTATTTCTTGTGGATTAAGCCTGCAAGAATTTTAAGGATTCTGTTCTTTTGTACTCATTACGCAACGCTTTTTCTCACACATGTTCCCCTCTTGTAGAAGAATGAAAATCAATTCCATTTCTTTCACTAACATTTAGAGTCAGTTTCACATCCAGGTTCTCAATGCTGCCCTATTTAGGTTGCGAAAACTGCAGGGAAATGACTATTTGAAAACAACTGTTCTTACTGGCATTTTCTAAAGTAATGGAAACATTTCTTACATTTTGTACAAATTTGTTTTACAAACTCTAAAATGCTGGGACTAATCTGAGTTGACAATGTCCTTTTAAAATTTATCAGTGAAATCAACGTATGTAGCCCTTTCCAGACAAATAAGACAGGTTGCTCTCTGGAGTGTACTTGTTTTGCAGTATTCAGGAAAATACATTATGAATAGAATGTCCAGTTTTTGATGTAGGTTATGCAAATTATTATTCATTTTCAGGATGCAGTTGCATTAGTTAAATAAAAAAATTCCAAGGGGCTTTTCATCAAAATTTCATCTCAGTTACAACTTCCTATTCAAAGAATCCTTTTTAATTTAACACAGAAAAAGCTCTAAACTGCCAACTTCTCCCTCCTCAGATAGGTATATTATTTAATTTCTCAATGTGTGGGGATATAATCCAAGAAAACACTGACAAATAAGAACTTCTGAAATTTGAAAAAAGCTTTTCAACCCCCACATCGCAACTGTGAAAAAAGGCTTCAAGGTAGTTTTGTTGTTGGTTATTAATAAACCATAAAAGAGTAAATATCTAAATATGCACCAGAGAAGATACTGTAGAAAGGCTTAGAAAAGGAGGAAGAAGATTTTAAATGGTGCTTAGACCACAGTAAGAGAGAGGTTGTTCCAAGTCCTATTGGAAAAGGCACAAAATCATGAATTGGAAGAGGAGACAAAAACAGATTAAGAAAGGAGGATTTGGTAGTGTGCAGGGTACAAGTGGATCAGTCAGAGAAGGGAAAGACAGACATGACAGAGTAGGGCAGAAAAGGGTAAGTGGGTTAAACTAGATGCACAAGGAGAGAGAAAGCACCAAAGGGACGTAGGAGGGAGAAAGAGAAAAGGACTTATTGCTATCAAATATAGAGATGAGAGAGTGATACTGGAGTCTTATTTCCCCATGCCTCTCCTTCAGTGTAATTACCGTCCGTGCCAATTAGTTAAAAGGGAAGTCAACCAAAGCTGAAATAGAAGCTCAGGATAATCCGGAGAGTATTTTTACAGATAAAATGTGAAACACAGCACACGGACTCATACATCACATATTTCTTTTCATTTTCACCAATGGACTCTCCAACACTCGCGAGGCAACTTTTCTTTCTTGGCCAGCTGTGAGCAAAAGGAGGACAAAACATCTACAAGGAATGGGTTCTGGTGGATCAAGGGCCATTTGAGGCAACAGTCCTCTTTGCAGCTTTCTCCCTAGCATCCAGCCACACATGAACTGGGTCCCTGGATCCCACTTTTAGGTGGTGCTTTTAGCTTGGACTTTACCCATCCCAGGTTGATAGAATCCCAAGGACAACTCTGAACTCCATGAATTGCCCACTCAAGGCCTCTGAACTTGGTTAAATGCTTGAGTAATGCCAGATATTTTTAGCAGGGATTTTTTTCCTGAAGGTTCAGTAAGTTTGTGCTCCTCTGCTGTACATAGTAAAGGCAGCTGCATCATATCCCTTTACCTGACATGAGAGAATCATAGACTACTAGAACTGGAAAGGACTATTCACAGCAGGACCAAGCACCATCTAGATTAGTGCTGGGCAAAATATGGCCAGGAGGGCCAGATCTGGTCCGCCAAGCCACCGGATCCGGCCCACAGATGCAACAGGGAGCCCCAGACAAACTTACTGCTTCCCTCACACCCCTCCCTCCTATTACCACATACCTCAGAAAAGCGGCTGCGGCGAGCCCGGGGGAAGGGAGAGTGGTGCTTCACTCCCTGCTCACGCCCCCAGCACAATCCCATCGGTGTGAATTACTATTCCCTCCACCCCTCCAGCTCTCATTCACCAACCACCTGGCCCCTGCAGCCAGGGGTATCAGAGGGGTAGCCGTGTTAGTCTGAATCTGCAAAAGCGACGAGAAGTCCTGTGGCACTTTATAGACTTAGAGTCAGGCTAGAGATAATGAGGTCAATTCAATCGGGGAGGATAAGGCCCACTTATAGCAGCTGATGTGGAGGTGTGAACACCAACTACAAAAGCAGTTTCTCCTCTCTTGGTGTTCACACCTCCACATCAGCTGCTATAAGTGGGCCTTATCCTCCCCGATTGAATTGACCTCATTATCTCTAGCCTGACTCTAAGTCTATAAAGTGCCACAGGACTTCTCGTCGCTTTTGCAGATTCAGACTAACACGGCTACCCCTCTGATACCCCTGGCTGCAGGGGCCAGGTGGTTGGTGAATGAGAGCTGGAGGGGTGGAGGGAATAGTAATTCACACCGATGGGATTGTGCTGGGGGCGTGAGCAGGGAGTGAAGCACCACTCTCCCTTCCCCCGGGAAAAAGGCGTTCTTCCTCGTGAAACGAGGTTTACCGCCGTCGAAAGAAAAGCCACGTTCTTTCGATTTAATTTCGAAAGAACGCGGCTTGAGTCTGGACGCAGGGGAAGTTCTTTCGAAAAAAGGCTACTTTTTTTGAAAGAACCCCTGAGTGTGGACACAGCCCAGAAGGAGTAGCGGTAGTTCGGATTAGAGAGCCTAATCCGAACTACCTACTCCATGCCATGTGTAGCCGCGGGCACGGAGTCCGAACTACCAGGGCTTTAAAAATGGCGGCGCCCGGCAAAATGCAAATGAAGCCTGGGATATTTAAATCCCGGGCTTCATTTGCAACTTCGAATGCCTACATTAGCCACCTTAGTTCGAACTAGGGTGGCAGTGTAGACATACCCCCGGTTAGTCTAAGGTGCCACAGGACTCCTCATCTCTTTTGCCTGAGAAACATGCTGGCTGGGAGTCACCCAGGTAAGTCTGCCAGCCAGAGCCTACCTCTCACACCCCAGACCCTCTCTCTCCGCAACCCAAATCCTCTGTCCCCGTCCTGAACCCATACCCCCTCCCAGAACCTGCACTTGATGGAGATTCTATAACCTCCCTAGGCAATTTATTTCAACATTTAACCACCGTGACAGTTAGAAAGTTTTTCATAATATCCAACCTAAACCTTCCTTGCTGTAGTTTAAGCCCATTGCTTCTTGTCCTATCCTCAGAGGCCAAGGAGAACAATTTTTCTCCCTCCTGATTATAACACCCTTTTAGACACTTGAAAACCGTTATCATGTCCCCTCTCAGTCTTTTCTAAACTAAACAAGCCCAATTCTTTCAGTATTCCTTCATAGTTCATGTTTTCTAGGCCTTTAATCTTTTTTGTTGTTCTTCTCTGGATCTTCTCCATATCTTTCTTGAAATGTGGTGCCCAGAACTGGACACAATACTCCAATTGAGGCTACTCAGAACAGAGTAGAATGGAAGAATGACTTCTCATGTCTTGCTCACAACACTCCTGTTAATCCATCACCAGTAACTGAACAGACATAATTTTTGCCATGCTAGTAATCCACTTAGTCTGATATCCTGTCTCCAGTAAAAGCCAAAATCTGATGCTTCAGAAAAAGGCAATCCCTTCATACGTAATGCAGTTGTTAACTATGCAAATCTATAGATATTGGGCAGGGACAGGGGACATTTCTTCCTGATCCTACAAGCACTCAGATTATACACTGAAGCATGAGATTTGATTGACTCCTGAGAAAGCCCAACTGCTCTCATGAAAGAATTAATCCAGTACTGGACAAGAATATTTAAAAAAAACCTCGTATTTCCACAAAGAAGGTGAAGACTCCCATTAAGTTTTATGAACAAGAGAATAAGAAGCAGGAAAGTTCCAAAGTATCTGAAGGTCCTGTGTGCCCTGTTCACATTTCCCGGTCAGAATTATGCATCCGTTCTGCATTAGCTCTTCATGCTGAAGCTCTGCTATCAACAAAGGATAAGAAGTTCTTTTATTCTCCTGCTTTCATTTCTGAGTAAAACTTTCCCCCCCACACAAGACACAGAAAGTCAGCTATAAAAGAAATCCTTTATTCCTTACAGCAGAAACAAATGCGAGTGATTGATATCCTTATTTCTTCTGAAAGAAGTGTAAAATGGATTGGCAATGGTTGAAATTACTCTACCCGCTGTCGCTCTGCCAAAGCTGGACACCCTATTGAACTACTGAAAATTTATCAGGAATATAAAAAATATTAATAACTCCCTCCCCTAAACTTTTTAATCTTTTCTAACTCATCTTTAGAATGATTTTACATTTGTTTTCAGAGAGATTGCCAATTCCTTCTCTGCTGATCTTTCTGGCAAATTAATAACGCATTTGAGACTGTCATATTGTCGTCGACTGGGATTAGATCTAGTGCTGGGTTAAAAATGCTATTTAAAAACTCAGAATAAGTACACGGATACAACTAAATCTCTGCCACTGCCATTCTCCTCTTCTCAAGGTGGTCTGATTTCACTGAAAGCGAACACGCATGATGCCAAAATGACCTCTGTTTGATGACAAAAATGCTATTGTTCACCAGCAGCAACACACATGGGATTCAGTGAGGGGTATTCTGTGGCAAGGCCCATGCTGTGGTTTTGGGATGAAGTGCAGGGAGATAATCAGGACACTATGGGTACGTCTAAACTACATGGCTCCATCGATGGAGCCCTGTAGATTAGGCTGATCGGCAAAGGGAAATGAAGCCGCGATTTAAATAATCGCGGCTTCATTTCCCTTTGCCGATCAGCCTAATCTACAGGGCTCCATCGATGGAGCCCTGTAGATTAGGCTGATCGGCAAAGGGAAATGAAGCCGCGATTTAAATAATCGCGGCTTCATTTCCCTTTGCCGATCAGCCTAATCTACAGGGCTCCATCGATGGAGCCCTGTAGATTAGGCTGATCGGCAAAGGGAAATGAAGCCGCGATTTAAATAATCGCGGCTTCATTTCCCTTTGCCGAACAAACAAATCTACATGGTTCCGTCGACAGAGCCATGTAGTTTAGACACACCCTAATATGTGGGGTATCCTATTCTGCCACGCAGAGTAACCATGGCAGTGCAGTGGCTTTTCAAGCCACCCGAGAACATGGTGAATATTGGTGGAGGATGAGAGAGGAGGGAAAAGAGCTGTATTGTGTAGCTTTATAGTTATACATATATTTAGCTATATAGTTCACACAGCAGTTTTAGCAAAGCAGGAGCACCCACAGTTGTCCCAACTACCAATGGCCACATGGCTACTGTCATAGCTCCAGTCAGACGTGGAGATATAAGCAACTAGTCAACTAACCTATAAGCGTAGGCTTCTCAAGTAGTCGAGTCGACTAGTCACTTCCCCTCCCTCTTGCTGCCTCTGTATCAGCGGTTCCCCCCTTCCCAGTTAAAAGCTGGTTCACCCCAGCACTGTTTCTGTGGAGGTGGAGACACAGCGGGAAATAGTGTGAGTGGGGACTGAAGCAGTCCACGCTCACGCCGGTCCAACTGCTGGGCCTCTGCCTTTGAAATGTAACAAGGACCCCACAGGACTATTATTACATTTCAAAGGCAGAGGCGGCACAGTCCTTTGAAATGTAACAAGGACCCCACAGAACTCTTATTACATTTCAAAGGCAGAGGCAGCGCAGCGGGGAACTCTGGGCAAGCGGGGACTGCTTGACACAAGGCAGAGGCAGTGCAACGGGAAACCCAGGGCAAGCGGGGATTGCTTGACTCGAGCATCCCCGCTCTCCCCAGGTTTCCCACTGTGCCTCTGCCAGGTCTCATAGCCGTGTTAGTGCACCATTACTGCGCCATGCAACTCTGCCGATTCAGGTCTGCTGTTGAGCTGCAAAACAACAGGGACTAGACTCGAGGGCCAGCGGGTCATGCAGGGTCCTAGGATCAGGTGCTCACTGACCCAAGTCAGATTGATTTCTGTGTGGATGGAAAGGGTGCTTGGGCTCGTATTGTGGGCTGAGTGCCCAGACAGGGTGGCTGACAGGCTTGCCAAGACCCTGGACAAGGTGAGGAGGGAGCTTGGGTCCATGCTCCTGGTAGGGATGAGGCCTCAGGCAGAAGGGGCAGGGCTGGGGACAGCCAGCCCTCAGCACCTCCTAGAGCACACCATGCCAGGCCCTCAGCCCTCAGAGCTGCCTGGAGCATGTTGTGTGGCACTCCAGCTGTAATTTAAAGAGCTAGGGAGTCCAGTCACTGCTGCTCCTGGGGAATGGTAATGGCAGCCATGAACCTTGGGCTCTTCTGCATCATCAGGCCCCAGGGCAACCAAAACGTGTTAAAGATACATACATAATCTCACAAAGATTTCACAGAGTCTACCCACAGTGTCCACAAATTGTCACAGCTACATGTAGAAACTGGATGGAGAGGAGTGGGAAGCTAGACAGAGATCAAAAACATTATGGTGCTTTTCTTGCTAGCTTGAAAATATCAGTTCTTTGGGGTTTACGTACCTTGGACTGGGGCCAAAGGCTCATATACCACTCGGTAACCCTGCAGGATTCCATTTGCTGCTGTCGGCTCTCCCCAAGAAACATTGAGCATAGTGCAAGTGATTTCTGAGAATGCCAAGAAGCTGGGAGCACTGGGAGCTGAAAGGATTGCAAACATACTGAATTGAAGTAGGACTATGTAACCAGATAGACATATTACGAAATGGCATTCATTGCCCAGTATAAATTTAAAGGAAATAAGATGAGAACAGGATTTATCAACTGTATCGGATCTTTGTGGAATGAAATAGAAATATAAAGTGTTCTAAAATCAGCAGACACTAAATTGCAAAACTGAGATTAAAAAGGATAGGAAGAGGAAATGGAAAATATGTAGAAGAAATGACAGAAGAGACCAGAAGTTCATTTTCAAATGACTGCATCACCAGGATAGCAAGAATCCCTTTTCTACAGCTTTTTTGGGAGTAGAAGACACAAAAAACGAGTGAGGGGAAAAACATCAGAGTTTTATGGCTTCAGGCCCAAGAGGTTAAGTGGCTACGCATGAGTTGAGCACCCAAAATGCCCAAAGTGCATGTGCAGGTCAGGTCTATACTTAAGTATACTGTTGTATGTGTGCATGCATGTCCTCAGCTTATGTGCATGCATCTTAGTTTGACTAAGCATTCTCATATGTAGTTGTGCAACTCTTGTGCTGGCCAATGACATTTTCTTTTCGCCCAGAACGTAGGGATTGTTACTCTACGCTGCCTTCTGCACCCCTTTGCCACTGCATGGTGCAGCAAAGCCAATCTGGACCTTAGGAGTTAAATGGTGCATAGTGTCCTCTGCAACCGCGGTGAATATCATTCTCAATCCTGTGCAACAATCCTCAATTTCAGAGGGGGATGCAGATTCCTATTGTGGAATATCAGTTTCTTGAGTAGTAATGAGACCCCCAAAAGAACCAGAGGGCATTATATGGTCTTCACCATTGATAAAAAAGTCATGGTTCAGAGACTGAAAAGCATTAAGAGCAAGTCTATTGTTGGTGCACCCTCTCTCACAGAACATAATGACTATGGAACATCCATAGAACATGTGTTCCACTGGGATAAGCATCTTCAGCACTGTTATTATTTACTGTGGTTGTACAGAATCCCAGAGGCTCAATGAAAAACAAAAAGAGCATGATTCTTCTTTTGCATTCTTTTATTGGTGGATCTCTATTTATTTCAATGGAGTTACTCCAGATGGACTCCAGTGGTAAGATCAGAATGAGATCTATAGCCTTTGCTGGGTCAGTTTGTTCTACTTCAGATCGTGGCATCAATTCTAAAAGCCCTTCCCAAAGGTCTAATTTAATGCAAAATGTTGGCGTAACCATAATAAGAAAATAATATAACAACTTATCCAACAATCCGCTCTAAACCACAACCACCCTCTCATTCCGTGATACACAGGATAAACACTTGTATGATGATCATCGTTTAACAGACTAAACTGTGGTTTGGAAAAAGGGAAATAATCTCATACCAGCCTGATGTGTCCTGCCCTGCCTGGGGCTGCTTCTTGGTCCGTCCCCTGCTGCATTGAAGGCAGATATGCAGACCATGTATTTGGTGTGACTGGTCAGATTTTTCAGCCGAACTGTTGTCTCTGGGAGGAAAAGAACTTTCACTTTCTCAGTGTCATTCTGGCTGTCCACATCCCAATAATAAATCTGTTGAGAACAGACAGATGTTGATGTCAATCCTGCCCTCAGACTACAGTCTCATTGAGGTGCAGACTGTAAAACAGGTACTCTTGTTCCCCTATGGCCAGTCAGATGTTGGCAGTTTTAGCTTTGGACCATTCAGTTATAGGATGTAATAATATTATTCACTTTGGCTGTGTCTACATTGGCACCCTTTTCCGGAAAAGGGATGCTAATGAGACAAGTCGGAATTGCAAATGCCGCGGGGGATTTAAATATCCCCCGCGGCATTTGCATGAACATGGCTGCGAAAGCCGCGGGGGATATTTAAATCCCCCGCGGCATTTGCAATTCCGACTTGTCACATTAGCATCCCTTTTCCGGAAAAGGGTGCCAATGTAGACACAGCCTTTTTGTGCAATCCTAAAGTCCTTATTTTATTTTTACTAAGGAAAATTCCCCTTGGATTCAAAATGTTTTCCCTGAGAAGGACCTTTCAAAATAGAGTAGAGAAAGTGTGAGATGGCTTAATGACATCTGTTATGGCTATAAACTACACAAGAAAAAGTCGTTGGTTCAGGACACAGATCTACGTCCTTTGACAAGTAACACCACAAACAGTATTAGCATTATATGTTTAGTGCAGACCCTTTAATCTTTCAGATAGCCTTCTGCCCAACTTCTACCAACTTACTGGAGAGATTGGAAGAGGCTCTCTCTAATTGTCAGGTAAGTTCCTTTCTCCTCCTTTCCCCCCATGTAATTCTTATCCTGAAGCCATAAAATTCAAACTCCAGAGATGAAGATTCCAATAGGCTACCTCTAAAGCGATCCGTAGCACTGCTTTGTGGATAGGCCTGGCAGTGACAACTATAAAGAAGGTCAGGGCACAAGAGCCAAGCCAAGAGTCTACCTTGGCTCTACAAGCTGAGCTATTAGAAGCATCTATGCACATACAAGAGGGATTATACATAAATTAATATATGAAATTGCTTGCTACTGCCAAGAAGTAATGCCAGATGATTCTCTCTCACTGGCTTGGCTTTCCTTCACTTGCAGACCTAGGTACACGGAGAAAGGCAGAGCCAGACACTGAACTCAAGCCAAGATCTAGCAGTTGTAGGCTTGCCCACTTCCAATCTCAAAGGATCCTCTCTCATCTGGAGAGACAAAACAAGATGGTTCTGCAATGTGCTTTATATCTCTGCAAACCAAGTGCAATAAATGTTACTTTTTCATCCTGTTAAAGTAAAGGAGGTGAAATAAGTTATCTGACATCTGACCTCGCTCATTCTTACAGCCCAGAGAAAGTTATAGACTTCCTGATGGCTCATGACAGCGGTCAATTGCCACCCCCATGTTTTCTGTGCTTTTGGTTTTTGGAGCAGATATGCTGCCTTCATATACTGAACTCTCCACTCTTTGTATGCACCGAATTTCTATCAAACTTTAATACCCCCCTTCTCTTTTTCTCTTCTTTGGACTCTCTCCCTCTGGTTTTGGGACATAATATTACTGTAGCCTTAGAATTAGTCTGCCTCATGCAGCACAGGTTGCTGTAGGAGGAAGTTTATTTCACAGGTAATTGTAAAGCCAAGTAAGATAACGAAAGCAACAGGAAGGAAGTATTGCCTTGTAGCCTTGTATGTTCCCATTCTGGCTGTCGATAGGAGGTGGGTCCCACGTGATCTCTAACTGGCTTGCAGTAAGGGCGTTTATTTGGATGTTCTGTGGGGCCATTGCTGGAGCTAGAGAGGAGAAGGAAATAAGGAGAATTAATAGTGACAAGGGGAACTAGACTGATATCCAAGTTGTATTTGTCCATTTATGGAGCAACCAGGTTAGTCTCTTTGTTTATGCCACAAGTGAGGTAAGAAACAATCAGCTTTAAATCCATCTAACTGATGCCCTAGAGAAGTCTCAGATAAACACTGCAGGGCATGTGGAATGAGAATCAGTGCTGTGGAGGTGGCTGTGTTCTCTGTCTCAGACCAGCTAAGTACACCCAGTCCAGCAGGCAGTTTGTTAAGAAGGAAATGGCAGAGAAAATATCTCCGTATTTGAGTTCAACTAAAGCTCCCAAGGCAAATGCTCCATGGTGTTTTTGCTTTCCTGAATGGCCAGTTGTTGAAGATAAACATAGCTCAGGGTCTCCTTAGCAAGAGTCACCATAATGTCCTGTTTATGCTACTGTAGTTGGCTGCTGTGAGGCTCAAACAAGTGGAGCTGCTAACACAGACATCATAAGAGGGTGGCTAGGGTCTCTAAAATTGTCCCTAGAACACTTTAGAAAAAAACCAATTAGTCACATTTTCTGTACAGTAAATGGATATTGATGCGTTTTTTGTTTTGATTTCATTGTACTTTCAGATTTAAACACAGACTGAAAGCTTGTCTCTTTCTGTCTTAATATTTATTTTGTTCACGTGCTTGCCATTTCTCCTTCTTTGTACCGCGCCATACCAGAAAACTAATTTGTCCTCCTTGTGTGCACAGGGGAAACACAATCTTTCTCTTTTGCTGCAGTCCAGCTCAGTGCAAATGGAACTTCTTTCTGAGTTACTGGTGAGGATGATCTGTTTTCTAGACCTGCTGTTTTAGCCTAGTCGCTCTTACAAACAGCACATGTCCTGGTTACTGAAGAAATATCTAAACACATTGTGGGGAAGGAAAGGGCAGGCTGCAAAGCGAAACCACTCCTGCCTTCTCTTTGGGCATGTGCAGATGGTACTGCAGCCTTTGCCCACAATGCCCAAGAGAGCTCTCTCTGTGATCCCTGCCCATTTATAGATTGTAAATAAAAGTGATAAAACATTCACCATCCAAATAAGATAGCCCTGGTTTTCTGTTCCTCTAGAGAGATCTTTCTTTAGAGACAATGACCTTCATAAGTCAGACTCTCCCCATATCCACCCGCCTTCCAGGGTTAAAAAATAAAATAGTAATTAACACCCACTCAGCCTGACACCAACTATTTATTTTGTTCTAACTGTGTGGTTTCCATATTATCACTGCCCACCCTGCCGTTAATGGAAATGTTAATAACCAGCACCAGGTTGTTGTGACAGATGCTTGGGCTCATTATCAGAAATTCTTATTTACCGCTCCATTAAACGACAGAATCGCACAAAAAACATACAAAAAACAATTCAATCAAAACTAACTGGAGGAATTTTAGCAGCCGCATTAATAATCCAAAACATAAATAAAGGGAATGTCGCTTGCATGTTTGCCATGGGCAACCCTACTGCAAAATGATTGTTGTACAATTAAAATGTGAAAGGCAAAATTGAGCAGGGTCATTATCCTGGTGCTCTGTTAAAACTGTTTGCTTATTATTTGTTAGCGTCTTTTTTTCGGTTGGATGTGTCAAATGCGGGAGGTGAGAATGGGTGTAAATAAAACACAAGCTGGGCTTGTTTAGTCAAGCAAACTCATCTAATTGCTGCTCTGCAATCCAACCAACCCCTTTTCCAGATTTCACTGGGGAAGTGAACATAGCAGCAAACTGTCCTGATGCTCAGTCATTGTTACCTTAGACCTGCCACTCTCAGAGGCAGAGGGCTGTATAGCACACATCTGAGCATGCAACCAAGCCTCTCATACAGTAGACACCCTACAAAAGAAGCTCTGCAAATACATCTTTGAGATCGGGCAATGACGACAAAACAGAAATGTGCATAATGATGGAGGAAAGCAGATCCGTTTTACAATCTAGTTTTGTCCTATACAACTGCATGTCTTGTACTGTCAGAGAGGTTTTGCTTTGAGGCTACATCTACACTAGCATTCTTCTTTAAATTCCCAGTGCTGGGCTAGAACCAGTGCAGCTTCAATGCTGCAAGCACCAGTGGGGGGAGCTAGCATACGTACAGCTAGCTGTCGTTGTGACCATGTCATATGACATTTTTCAGAGCCTGTCTAGACAGCACAATGTTTAAAAATGCCAGTGATCATTCCACCTGACTCTCCTATTTACAATCCCGGAATTCTGATGACATGCAAATTATGTTTGGTTTGGTGCCCTGTGAGTCTGACTCGCTGTCCAACTTTCAAACTCTGATGCTTCCAACAGGGATGGAGAAATAGTGCCACTCATGCTTGATGCTCTGCACACAGCACATTACTTTAAGGGCAAAGTAAAGTGTTTTAAAAAGAACAAAACCCATCCCTAAAATCATTCCTGTTTGAGACCCCAAAACCTTTGCTGAATGCACAGGCAGACGTTATCAGTACAAGCAAACACATTTTAAAGGTGAGTTGAAAGGCCTTTTACCTTGTAGAAATTCAGTTCAAAATTTCAAGGCTCTGTGGTTTTTCATAGCTGCTGGCCTCAGTAGAACATAAAGCAGGGTGGGAACTGCATCCCTGACATTGGTTTAGGTGCTAGTGACATTATCAACTTTAGCAGGAGAGACACAGAACCCTGAGGGCCTGAACTCGGCTCTTGGCAGGTAAAAAGCATTTCAATTGCTCTGAAAAATGTATTTGGTTGTCATTTCTAAGTCTGCACATGTATTCTGATTTGGAATCTCATGTAGCTTTTTGCAATCACATTTTTTGTAATAGAATTTCCTGTCTCCTAAATGGTAAAAGCTAGGACCACCGAGTTCAGTGTACAGCTTCCACTTATTATAACTTAAAACAAGGTAAGGGTATGGTTGTGCCAGGAAAATTGGATACGCCTGGAATGGGATTGCATATCATAAAAACATACAGAAAAGAAACAATCACCAGGCAAGTGAAAGGGCCTTGCTGGTGGTGTCGCTTCGTCCCTGTCAGGGACTGCCCCAACCCAAAGCCTCCCGCCCACCCTGGTACTATTTGGGGGAGGGATGAAGCTCCCCCTGATTCGTACTCGGACATTTCTGGTTGGTCTTCTTGTAGGATGAAAATTTCTGAGGCAGGCTATGATATTCTGTTAAGAACCAAATCTAAATTCAGACTCTGGGAATGGCACATAAACACAATACATGGTTATTCCCCTTCCTCACCAGTCTAGTCCATCAAAGGAAAGCCATGACCCAGGATGGGAGGCAGGACAAGACAAATTCAGTGGTGCTAATCTCTCTGCTTTAATCCCCAGATGGACCACATCCTGCAGTGATACCTTCTTGAAGCTGACAGACATATCACCACTTAACTGATAACTGATGTCTGCTTTGTTTAAATACTTGTTTTACTGGAAACACTATGTAACTTTATATTATTGCTCTTACCTTGCCTTACTATTAGCATCTATCCAGAGGATCCCGGATCTTCCTCCCTCCCATCACTTTGATCTGTCCATTGAGCATCCTATATAACTAGCTGTAACCTATTGTTTGGCAGTGTTCACTGAGCTTAGCAAGTGACACTCCGCCCAGCGCTGTGTGTGTAATAAACTCTCCTGCTTGCTTCACATACGGGCTACGTCTACACTGGCATGATTTTCCGGAAATGCTTTTAACGGAAAAGTTTTCCGTTAAAAGCGTTTTCGGAAAAGAGCGTCTAGATTGGCAGGACACTTTTCTGCAAAAGCACTTTTTGCAGAAAAGCGTCCGTGGACAATCTAGATGCGCTTTTCTGCAAAAAAGCCCCGATTGCTATTTTTGTGATCGGGGCTTTTTTGCGGAAAAGAAATGTCTTCTGTCTAACTGGCCCTTTTGCGCAAAAGTCTTTCAGAAAAAGACTTTTGCCCGAACGGGAGCAGCATAGTATTTCCACAAAAAGCACTGATTTCTTACAGTAGGAAATCAGTGCTTTTGCGGAAATTTAAGCGGCCAGTGTAGACAGTTGGCAAGTTTTTCCGGAAAAGCTGCTGATTTTCCGGAAAAACTGGCCAGTCTAGACACAGCCCCGGTGTCCAGATTCTATTCCTTCACCTCTTCATCGGGAAGTGAGGGGAAAGTGCACAGTTTACTGCATTCTTTACTCTGGCTAGGAAGCGCAGAAGGCTGGACTTCCATGTAACCATTATTTACACGGGGCTTGACAATGAACAAGAGAGTTTTTATTAAGTATAAAAAGTAGGATTTAAGTGGAAACTGTCAAAGTAAGTTACTAAATTAAAATGAATAGAAAACACATAGCTAGGTCTAATCCTCTAAGAAACTTATTACATGCAAATTCTTTCCCTGAACAACTGTTCTTATTTCAGGTAAAAACTTCAAATCAGAATTGGTCTTTTACTCTGACGTAGGTCTAGAACCCTCTTCAAAGTTCTTTTGTATCCTCTTTAGGGTGTGCTAGGCAGTTTCAAAACCAGCTGAAGACAAAGGGCTGAATGCTTCCCATTGCTTAAATAGACTTTCTCCCAGGGTGGGAATCCTTTGGTTTTGCATCTCCTTTCTTTCGGGAAAACTATCAGGTTCAAAATGGATTCCAGTACTATGTGGCATGGTCATATATCTTTCTAGCACCAATCGCAGTTTGGGCTGACAGGGCAAACATGACTATTCAGAAGTTGTTGATTTGAGAACTGAATCATTAAATATATGAAGTACCACTAATTGCCTCCTAGTTCGAACTAGGAGGGTAATGTATGCATACCGCACTTGCTAATGAAGCCCGGGATTTGAATTTCCCGGGCTTCATTAGCATAAGCGGGGAGCCGCCATTTTTAAATCCCCGCTGCTTCGAACCCCGTGCAGCGCGGCTACACGGGGCTCGAACTAGGTAGTTCGGACTAGGTGCCTATTCCGAACTACCGTTACTCCTCGTGAAATTCAAATCCCGGGCTTCATTAGCAAGTGCGGTATGCATACAT